AACTGCTGACTTTAAGCAGCTAACACCTAATCCACAGCACATCTCGGGATCCGTCTCTTCACCCCAGGCAACTGTTGATCATTCTGTCTCTATAGTTTGTCTTATGGACACTTTGTGTTAATAGAATCACACAATATGTGACCTCTTGTGTCTGGCTTCTTTTTACTGAGTCAGTAAATGTCTTGGGAGGTTTGTCCATATGATCTCATTTCTGGTTGATTTGTCCCTTTGTATTGATCACGGGCATTCCATGGTATAGATATATCACATTTTATCTATCCGTTCGTGAACGTTATGAATAATGTTGCTAAGAACATCATTTGTAAATCTTTGTGTTGATATTTGTTTTCCTTTCTCTGGATAGAATTGCTGGTAATACGGTAAATTTATGTTTAATTTTTTAAAGGAACAACCAAACTATTTTCCAAAGAGGATGTACCATGTATCATTCCCACTATGAGAGTTCCTTTTCCTTCACATTCTTGACAACATTTGTTATCACCGGTCTTTTTGATTATAGTCATTTTAGTGGGTGTGAAGCAGTATCTCCATGTGGTTTTGATTTGTATTTCCGTAAAGGCTAATAACATTGGATAGCTCTTGATTTTTAAACGTTGGAATTCATTCAAAAATTTCCAAGGCTGCCTATCAGCACTGAATAGATGGAACAAAACAGGTTAGAACAAAACAAGTTCATGGAACTACCCTGAGAGAATGAGTTTGGACTTCTGACCTAGACTCTGCAAAACAATGGTTTGTGAACTCTTTCTTCTGGGGATAAAAATAATTTAAATCTGCAGCACAAACTACTCTGTAGGGGAGCAGAAGAATTTCTCAATCTTTTATAATGAATTTGTAGACTAGAAACAAAAAGACAGTCAATCTCCCAATGGACTTATTCATAATGCCACATTATTTTTTCCCCCTAGTAAATCAACTTGTTACATATTTATTTGTAGGAATATATTTGTTTCTTTTATAGATGGTTAATTAATTTGCCAAATGTTATTATACACCTATTAAATGGTAGAGCTGGATTCCAAGCCAGGTCTATCTGATTCTAAATTCCATTCCTCACCATATTCTACTGCATATCCCAGAGATGTGACCTGTTCTGGTGTGGCGTTGTAGTTTCAGCACTGGACTGCTACCCTTAAGGTTGTCAGTTCAAACCCACCAGCTGATCCTTGGAAACCCTATGCAGGGTCTCTATGAATCAGAACTGACTCCATACAACAGTAACAGCATGCTTCAGGAAGCGTCAAATGGAGGCTAGTTTGGGGATGGAGGTACCTGAGACGAGGCTGGATTCAGAGGAGTGTGAATGGGACCAATGACAGACATGGAGGGAGACTAACAAAATGTGGAGAGCAAGGGAGAGGAAGGAATCAAAGACATTTTAAGTCTGGTTTCATTAACAGACAAAGAAAAGTTTGGAAGAAGACAGTGTCAAGGATGGGATGACAATGAAGGGAGAAGAAGATAAATTTGGGAGCAACTGCATTTTCAGTTTCCCTCCTATCCAAGTAGAAATGTCTATGGAACTGCTGAAACTGTAGGGGTCCATGTGCTGGAATGAGGTCAGGACTAGAGATGCATTTAAGGATGTTATTTTTATTATTGACTTTTACTAAAACTAATGTATTTGTGCTGTTTAACTCTGCTGAATGTCCTGTTCTCCTCTTCTGAGAGTCCAGAGTTGAAAAGTCTTAAAGGATCAAAAGGCAATCGTTCAAAAAGAACAAGGGGATATTGAATGGTTAAAAATCAGGAATGGTGTGTGCCAGAGTTGTATCCTTTCACCATACTTACTCAATCTGTATGATGAACACATAATCCAAGAAGCTGGATACTATGAAGAAGATAAACGTGCTAACTGGATTGGAGGAAGACTCATTAACAACCTGCAATATGCAGCTGATACAACCTTGCTTGCTGAAAACAGAGAGGACTTGGAATATTGATGAAGATCAAAGGCTACAGCCTTTAGTATGGATCGTAGCTCAATGTAAAGAAGACAAAAACCCTCACAATTGAACCAATAAATAATATGATAAATGGAGAAAATATTAAAGTTGTCTAAGATTTCATCTTGTTCGGATCGACCATCAACACTCATGGAAGCAGCAGTCAAGATATTCAAAAGACATATTGCATTAGGCAAATCTGCTGCACAAGATCTCTTTTAAAAGTTCAAGAGCAAAGATGTCAGTTTGAGGACTAAGGTAAACCTTGGTATTTTCAATAGCCTCATATGGATGTGGAAGTTGGACAATGAAGAAAGAAGGCCATATAAGAATTGGTGGATTTGAATTACGGTTTTGGTAAAGTACTATGGACTGCCAGAAAAGCAAACAAATCTGTCTTGGAAGACATACAGCCAGAATGCTCTGTAGAAGCCAGAATAACCAGACTTCATCTCTTGTACTCTAGATATACGATCCCTGGAGAAGGACATCATGCTTAGAAAAGTGAAGGGTCAGTGAAAAAGAGGAAGGCCCTCAACAAGATCGATTGGCACAGTGGCAACAACAATGGGCTCAAACTTAACAATTATGAGGATGGCACAGGACTGGATAGTGTTTTGTTTTGTTGTGTGTGTATTGCTACGAGTTGGAACCAACTCGATGGCATTTAATAAACTTATGAGAAGCCAAGAGGCTGTTGTAAGCAGATTCTCTAAGTATGGAATACTGTTATCAGAAGTGACTTTGGTGACTGACAATGTTGAGTTACAAGCCTTAGACAGTCTTTGGTGTTCTCTGTTGTATGTTGTCAATTCCGACTCATAATAAATCCGTTTTTGCCTTCAAGTTGGTTCCAAGTTATAGCAACCTTATATGACAGTATAGAACTGGCCCATAAGGTTTCTTAAGCTGTAATCTTTATGGGAGATGACCAGGTCTTTTGAGGAGTGGCTGATGGGTTCTAACCATTGACCTTTCTGTTAGCAGTCAAGCACTTAACTCTTGAACCACCAAGGTTCCTTTGTTCTTTAAACACGCTTAAAATTTCAGAAGCGGAATGGACCTTATCATTCACATATATTTTGTTGGTTCTGACCCACAGCGACCTGAGTGTTGTTGTTAAGGACCATCAAGTCAGTTCCCACTCATAGTGAACTTGTATAGGGTTTCCAAGGAGCTGCTGGTGAATTTGAACTGCCAACTTTGAGGTTCAGACCAACCTTGTGGTCCAATGCTTATGTTGCAGCGCCATACCAGAACTCCACACATGTATTATGTTGCTGGTGGCTATGTGCTGTGGAGGCAGCAACCCTATATTATGTTTTCGAGGCTGTAAATCTTTATGGGGGCAGTAAGCCTCATTTTTGTTTTGTGGAATCACTGGTAGTTTTGAACTGCTTACCTTGAAATTAGCAATCTGACTGTAACCACTGCTACCAGAGGTTATCATAGTAAACTGGTATTATACGTTTAGACTCTATTAAGAGAACAGAATTCTTCATGGAGTCAAGTCACAAGACACCTGGACAAGCGTCAAGCAGGTGGGGGTGGGGAACCAGAAGTGCCAGGACAAAGGGACAAAGCAAGGGACTGATTTAGATTTCCCCAGGAAGGACTCTTCTCTCAGCCCCCTTGGAGCCTTCTCTGAAATCTACCAGCTCTTCCTTTTACTTTCCTGCCTTGTTTTGTTTTATTCTCTTTTCAAGAGGAGGCGTTTTCTAGGCTTAGGCATTTACATCACATCACATGTACTAAAACGCATCCGTATGGCACATTAAACATCTACATCTGGCCGTAAACATTTTTGGGAGGAATTTTACAGTTTTCAGTTTATATAAGAATAAACCATTGGTTTTGATCTTGTAACTTAAAATGTACTATATTTTATATAGCATCTTTATGAAAGAGTTGACTAGGTTATGCAGACATTAAAGATTTTTTTAAGTTTGATTTTCACCATTTTCTTGATTTGGAGCCTTTTGTTTTTCGGTCTCATACGTTTTTTCTAAGGCCCTTGAAAAGCTCACAGGCCCTAAGGGATACGATAGCCTAGCAAGGAATTCCATTTGAGGAATGAATGAATGAGGTGAATGATGTCCTGCCCCACCCCCTCAGTCATCTCTCCAAGGCTGGGTCCCTTCTCACTATTCTGGAATTCAGCCCTGCCTGGGGGCTGGGTAGGGAGGCCCTCCCTAGCCAGCACAGAAACTGCGGCAGCGACGAAGCCTAGCGCTCCGCCAGTCGAGGCCGGGTCAGTTCGGGAACCTAAGTTCGGACAGTGGCCGACCAGTCACCTGGGCTCCGCAGAACCTGTGCGCATGGGCGGAGCTGCACCTCAAGCCTTGTCTCCCCTCCCCCACTGCAGGTGAGCAGAGCAGCAGCCCCCACCCTCCCTCAGCCCCGGGGTGACGTAAGGCCTCTGGACCGCGCACCAGCCCCGCCCCTGCAGTGAGCACCCAGGGCCAGCGACGCGGCACTCCAGCCCAGAGTGCAGCGGGACACGCCGGCTGCGGCAAGCACTGGGGGTGGCAAAGCGCTCGAGTGGGCTGCAACTACGGCCCTGACGTAGGGCCAGCCACATCCACTTGGACCTTGGGGCGCCTGACCACCGCTGCCTCAACACACCTGACTTGCGGTCCGCACCTCTAAGGACCGTGCGGCTCATCTACCCCCGCAGTCTCCGCACCCACTGCCTCGCGGAATCATCGGGCACGTAGCCAGTCTCAGCTGTCCATCTCCGCGCGAGCCAGCCAATCGCCGGCGACTGCCTCGGCCGCACCTCCCGGAATCGATGATGGGCGTGAGCGGCAGCCTATGAAATCTGCGCTCCGTTTGCCTTTGCTGGGAGCGGGAGCCAATGAGCATCGTTTCAGGTGGGTGGAGGGATCCGGACCTTGGGAAGGTAGCTTCGTTCGGGTTGCTAACGTCTTCCCTTGGAGATGGGCGCGCAAACGGACCAGTGGGTCTGGGGGCGGCGGTGATGGGCGTGGAGCTGGCCCAATGAGGGTGGGAGTGGGTGGGGCAGTCTCGAGCAGCAGTGCTAAAGGAGCCCGGCGGAGGCAGCGGTGGGTTTGGGATTCAGGCGCCGGATCTGTGGTCGCGGCTGGGAACGTACGCCGGTGCCACCATCTTCGGCTGAAGGTGAGAGGTGCGGCTGCCGGGGTCCGAGGTCGGCGGCTGGAGGTGGGGAGGCAATTTGTAAAGGGAGAAGAAGAGGATCCCGGGCTAGGGCGACGGGGCACCCTGGAGGGCAGGAACAGAACCCGGGCGGGAGCTGGAGGGAGGCAGGAGGGGGCTTTGGGCGGGAGGGTTTTTGCTGCAGGCTGTAGATTCATGCCTGGAGAGACGTCGGGGTACGGGAACCCCAGTGGATGGAGAGACCCCTGGCAAGCTGGGAGTAAGGTCCTTGAGGCTGAGACCTCTGCAAAGAACAGGGCCTGGGTGTGCGGGAGGGCGACCCCCTGGGGGTTGTTGAGGATGGAGATCTGGGATTGGGGATGTGGAGACCTGGTACTTGGTGTGTGGACCCCCTGAGGGCATAGGTGGTGTGTAGTATCCGGGTCGGGTGTTCCGGGGTGTTCCGTGGGTCTGTCTCTGCCTCCTAGCAGGGGAGGGGGTTCCTGGGGCGAGCTGGAAAGCGCGATCCTGGTTGGGGCGGTGTTGGGGTTGGGGCGCTACAGAGGAAGGGCCCTTGGGGGTGGTCTGGACCGGACTGGGCGCCCCGGCGCGGAGGACTCGGAAGGTTAGCGGCGCTTCCCGGACCCGCGGGATGGAGGGCTGGGAGGGCAGGGGCACGGCGCAGCCCGGGAAGCGCGCGGCGGGTGAGGGTAGAGGCGGCCGCGAGCGTGGGGAGAACCTAACTCCGCTGTTGCTGGGAAGGAGGGCCGGATGGGGTGTATGTGAAGAAGGTGGGATGGGGTGAGGTGGGGGGGACGTGGTATAACTGCTCCTGAGACCTCCCGAACCGGGCTGGATGCTCGGCGAGGCCCGGGCGGTTTGGGGGGGCGAGGCGGGAAATGTGGCGGGGCGCGCTGCGGCAGGGCGGCCGGGGGGAGGGTCAGCCCTGGTCTCGGGATCCCTTTATTGTGCTAGCGGTGGGGAGAAGGGCTCTCCGCAGTCTCTTCCTTGTCTTCTGCTGTTGAGGTCACACCCTGGTCCCATAAAATCGGACTGGAATGGGATCGGAGGGAAGTTGAATTAGCGAAGTGCTGGCGTTGGCTGGGGCTTTGTGGGCCTGTGGTGGGCGGATGCGACTCAGGGACTGGGGGAGGCCCCCAGCCAGGCCTGGTTAGGATCTGGGGCCTTAGGCTGGAGGTTTGTGGTTCAGCGGGTCTGAGCAGGGGTTGGTGAGGTTTGGGTAACATGGCCTCTGCTTATGACCGTTATCTCACTTTCTTCGGGCTCTGCAGCTCTCTTCAAGATCACTGCGGTTGATGGAAGGGGGTGGGGTGGGTGGGGTGGGCTGGGGTGGGGTAGGGAAAGCAGGCGGGGTAGATCCCAGACTGCAAATGAAACAAAGACTGCTGTTTTCATTGAATAATATAATACTAAATATAATACTTAGACTTTGCTGAGATTTTCTTTTTTTAACATGGAAACTGAAGATTCTTTGAGGCAGGCATAATTATTCTTGATAGTATCTCACTCTGGAAAACTTTAACCTATTTATTGTTTTATCTCCTTCATCAATCTGCCCTTATCAATTATTCTTCTAGCCCCATGCTTTGGGTGTTTAAGTATGCCCTGTCTGACTCCGATTCTGGAAAAGTGGCCATTTTATGCATCTCCTTACTCTTCTGCATCTTAAATACGGCTCTTCCCCCCTCCTTATCTAGAGAAAGCATATGGTGTAATTGTGCCATATAGCACCAGCTTTTGCAGCAAAGAGATGTGATCTAGGAGAGCTTCTTACTTGGTTTTTTATTTAGACTCCTTTGGGAAATCCTTATAATGGAGACAGGCTGGAGGGAAGGTGAGATGGAGGAAAATTTGAAGGGCATGTTGTATGGTGAAAGACTATGCTTTCGCTGTTTATGAGCTTTAACCATTGCAGATGAAGAATTAAAATTCCTGGTGTTGGGTCCAAGTTTTGGAAATAATATAACACAGTGTGGAGATATGAATTGTGGACAGTAGGTTTGTTTTGTTTTTGTGGTCATTGGTTAAGTAGAATTTTGATAAATTAACAAACTTTTGTACATCCCTGTACTATAAGTGATTTCAACTGTGATATCACACAAATTAGGACAGATCTGTTGTAGTTTATCCGTCTTGGAGAGATGCTATATCATAATTTATTCATATATATATATGTATGTATGTATATATGTATAGGGACTTCTGGTGTGACACTGTAGGATAAGCACTGGACTGCTAACCACAAGGTCAGTGGTTCAAACCCATCAGCTGCTCCTTGGAAACCCTATACAGGGTTGCTATGAGTTAGAACACACTTCAAGGCACTTAACAATACACCTACAGTAGATGTAAATGCTGGGATGCAGTTGAGAAGTTTGCTGGCTGGCATTTTATTGGAAATTAAAAAATGGCTTGGGAAAGGATGGAGTCCTAGAAGAGGTGTGTGTGTATGTTTGTCTGTGTGTCTAACATCAGTGAATGGATTGGGAGCTTTGTGTAGGGGCTGATACATACTCAGGTATATATACTTTAGCTGTAATCAGTGCGTTGTTTCAAGAGGCTCAAGAACCTTCAGATTCTCTCTTCATGTCTTCTACAAAGGTTCCTATTTACTCCTTTTCCTTCTAAGTATGTTAGATGCCATGGATCCAGAGACCCTATGCACAACAATAAAACCCTACCAGGTCCTGCACCATCCTCAAAATTGTTGTTTGAGCCCATTTGTTGGCGCCACCCTCTAATTATAGGTAATGTTACAATAAACTGTAAACCTTTTACCAGATTGTGCTAGTGTACTTGGTGATCAATTCTGAACGTCTACAATTGATAAAGTTTTTATTTTGTAGAGAGGCGTAGTATATACCATCTACCCTTCAAGTCTTTCCCTTTTGCCCTCCCATCATTGTAGCAAACACTGGAGCCTGGCCATGGGTTTCATCCCTCCTTTGTTGCTTGTTAGCTGTGAGACTTTAGGCCAGTTATTGGCTTTGTCTGTACCTCAGATTCCTTCTCTGTAAAATGGAGCTATTAATAGAGCCTACCTCATGGGGCTCTTGTGAGGATTAGAGTTGATATGTATGTAAACTGCTTAGAATAGTGCCTGGCCATCATCAGCAGTATACAACAACAGAATGCGTTACTTGTAAAATTGTAGTATTCTCTTTTCATCCAAGCAAAGCATTTTGTAGTAGCTCATTGTTAGATACTAGCATTATTAGGATTTGGGTACCAAATGTATAGTGGAATGAAAAAAACAAAAACGACATCTATAGCAAGCACAGATTAAAAGTAACAAAATAACTTCACTTGTTCCATGAAGTCTTAATTAAACAGTTTGAGCTCCTACTTCTACTATAGGGCAAGAAGAAAGCAGAAAGAACAGTACAGAATGTTAGGAGAAGGAGAAGGATTCAATTGCAAGATTGACCTGGAAAGAACTTCAAACAGGGTAATGTTTGGGTCAGGATTTGAAGGAATGATAGATGGATTTTGGGTTGTGGAGGAGATGTTGAAGATGACCGCGAGGCCATTCATGTCATAAAAGTGTGAATCGTTCCACACTGTGCTGGCTACTAGGGTGGATAAGTGCTTGAGGTACATAGCAAAGAACAGGAAACTGTTCGTTCGCACAGTGTTTCATTACTTGTAGAAAAATCTAGAACAGTAATCTGTCATTCCACAACATTAGCAATAGTCGGCACTATTGGTAATACATTAAATATTGTTTCTTGAATTTTAACGTTCATGTGCATGTAATTTACCTCCATGAAACTGGAAGCATTTTGTAATTACTTTTACAGTCTGATGTTTTTTTCTTAATGTGATGAAATGATAAACATTTTCCCACCTAGGTTTAAATTTAATAGTTATAAAGAAGCTAGAATAAGCACTAATTTGATAAAATAATTTTTAAATATATAATTTACTTTCTGAGAAGAAGACATACTCTGGAAATGGCCAGTTCATTTATCCTAATTTATAGTTGCCCACTAAATTTAAGCATATAATTATATGCCCAATATAAAATTAAAGAAATGAGTTTGTTTACTGGATGCAAGATACTTCCCTAAGTTTTTTTTAAAAAAAGGATTAGATTTAATTTTTTTCCACTCGATACCTAATAAGAATTTTAAGACTAACTTATTGTCATATTTAATGATAGTTAGATATTTTCCATTTTTAATAAACTTCTTAAATTTTTGTGGGTTTTATTTTTTTCATTTGTATGAAAGTTTACAGAGAAAATTATTTTCCCGTTCAGCAATTTCTACACATTTCATTTTGTCACATTAGTTGCAATCCCCTCAGTGAAACAATGCTCATCCCACTGACTCTGTCCTGAAGTGCAGGATGCCTGTCATATTATTTGTCTCCCAAATCACTTAGGATGATTCCCACATCAGAGCTGCGCCTCCCTTCTTAGTGGTTATTGTGCAGAAGACAGGAAGCTTGTTAATAGTCTATTAGAGCAGTTCCTAGAAGTGATGGGGCTTCGGAAACAATTCTTCAGAGGATATATTGCCCTCTCCTAGATATGTACCTATACAGGGTCTCTACGAGTCCACACACTTAGCAGTAACAAAGGTAGGTGCCTCAGGATCCCAGGTGGCGCTGTGGATTAGGCATTAGGCTGCCAACCACAAGGTCGGTGGTTCCAGTTTACCAACCAACCGCTCTTTGGAAGAAAGATGAGGCTGCCTGCTTCTGTAAAGATTTAGTCTTGTAAACCCTGTATGAGTCAGCCATGAGTCGAAATTGACTTGGTGGCAGTGGGTAAGCATGTTCCTAAGAAGGCAAATATGACCTAAGTTATAAAATGTGTTAGCATATACTTTGATTTGTGAAAGTCTAATGTTCTGTGTGTGGTGCTGTGAGTTAATGCACTGGACTGCAAGGTTGGTTTGAACTGCAGAGTCGGTGGTTTAAGTTCACCAGTTGTTCCTTGGAAACCCTGTACAGGGTCACTATGAGTCGGAATCCACTCGATGGCACGTAACAACAGCTAATAACACTAAACCGTTAGCATATCTATAAAACCATGTCATGAATTAGTCTAGAACATTGGTTTTCATTTTTTTTTTTTGCACCTACATAGCCTGTTAGGACTCCTGTTGTGGCACTGTAGTATAAGCACTGGACTGCTAGTCACAAGGTCAGTGGTTCCAACCCACCAGCTGCTCTTGGAAACCCTATACAGGGTTGCTATGAGTTGACATTGACTTGATGACACGTAACAACACTATATCCTGTCAGTACAGTATCAACCAGAGAGCTGTGGCCCAGCAATTCTCAAAGCCCAGCAGCATCTGTATCCTCTGGGAACTTGTTAGAAACTGCATTCTTCCATCTTTTCTCAACCTAGCGAATCAAAATGGGTGGGGCCTTGTTGTTGTTGTTAGGTGCATCGAGTCATTACCTTATGCACAGCAGAACAAAACACTGCCCGATCCTGGGCCAACCTCACTAGTGTTGCCACACTTGAGTCCATCGATACTGCCACTTGGCCAGTCTTTCTCATGGGGGTGGGGGGGGTCTTTCTCTTTTTCTCTGACCCTCCACCTTACCAAAAATGATATCCTTCTCAAGCGACTGGTCCCTCCTGACATATGTCTGAAGTATGAGAGACGAAGTTTGTCCATCCTGGCCTCCAAGGAGCACTCTGGCTGCACTTCTTCTAAAACGGATTTATTGGTTCTTTTGGCAGCCCATGGCACTTTCAGTATTCTCCTCCAACACCATAACTCAAAAGCATCAGGTCTTCTACGATCTTCCTTATTCACTGTCCAGCTTTGACCTAGCAATCTGTATTTTAAGTCTTCCAGGGCAGTCTGATGTGCCAACTGTAGATGAGTGTTGCTGCTGCCGTTATTATTGGCTGCCATCTAGGCAACCCTCCCACTTGTGGTGACCCCATGCACAACAGAATGGACTGTTGTGCTCCTTAAGGTTTTTGTTGGCTTCTTATTTTGAATGTAGATCTCCAGATTCTTACTAGTCTGCCTTAGTCTGGAAGCTCCGCTGAAACCTTTTCGATATCATAGCAACATGCAAACCTTCACTGAAAGTTAAGTGGTGGTGATGCTTGAGGTGCATTGGCCAGGAATCAAACCTGGGTCTCCTGCATGGAAGGTGAGACTTCTGCCGCTGTGGTTAGCAGCTCACCTGATTGAGTGCTAAATAAACGATCAGTAAAAGTCACAGAAAAAATATTTTCCTGAGTGGCAATGTTTCATTGTCTCCTGTAATGGTCATCCTATATCTGGAATATTGTGTCGGCTTCTAGGCCACACGTTCTAAAGGGACATAGCACATTGGAGTCTGTTTATATGTAAGCGATCAGGGTCATGAAATGAGCCTTGATGAATGATGGAATGCTTAGGCTGAAGAGGAGACAGAGGGAGTAGGAGCAGCTGCAGGAAAAGGAGTGGAGGCCTGAACAGCGATCCTCACATGTTCCAAGGGCTGTTGTGTGGAAGTGAAATTGCACTTACCCTCTGTGGCCCCATTTAATCACATAAATACCACATGGGCTGTAGAAATGCTGTAAGGGACTACTTGAGGCATTTATAAGGAAGAACTTTGAGCCCTGTGTCTGAAGGTAGAATGGGAGGCATATTTCTTTGCTCTCAAATGTAATCCTAATATGGTTTTGTATAATACTAATTCTAATACCATTCCATGAGCCTTTTATTATGCATCTCTCACCCCCATCCCCCACATTTTCCCATTTTCACTTTCATGCTTGATTTGTGGTAAAGTACAAGAGATTAAAAAAAAAAAAAAGTCAACCTGGCACTTTACCTTTTTCTGCTGCTTTTTCAGTCCTTAGTAACTGAGGACAAATCTTGAGTGGTCTTTAGACAACCCGAGGTATAATTTGTGGCCACCCCTGAAAGGTACCTGGGGACCAATATGACTGTGAAGAGGAATGTCCCAGATCCATAACTCCAAGCTTATTCTCTTTACATCTGCCAAAGAGTTTGTGTCATGTTTCTTAGAAAATGAAAGCTTTTGAACTCTTTTTATATTTTTAAAATATTTTAACATGTTTCTTCTCTTTTCTTAGAGGTGATTACTCTTGGATCCTTCTGTTTACAATGGCACAAAGGACTGGACTTGAAGATCCTGAGAGATATCTCTTTGTGGATAGGGCTGTCATCTACAACCCTGCCACTCAAGCTGATTGGACGGCAAAAAAGTTAGTTTGGGTTCCATCAGAGCGCCATGGCTTTGAGGCAGCTAGTATCCAAGAAGAGCGGGGAGATGAAGTTATGGTTGAGCTGGCTGAGAATGGAAAGAAAGCCATGGTCAACAAAGATGATATTCAGAAGATGAACCCACCGAAGTTTTCCAAAGTGGAGGACATGGCAGAGTTGACATGCTTGAACGAAGCATCTGTTTTACATAATCTGAAGGATCGCTACTATTCAGGACTTATCTACGTAAGTATTCCTTCCAAATGAGCATGTGAATCGGTGACTTGTGATTAATATGAATGATACAGATCCTGTTGTAATCAAATGAGAGTGTGGAATGCCCACACACTCTGTTTAACACTGCTCTTTCTATTAGATTGGTTCTCGGTTACCCCAGACTTACTCGGCTTTAAATCTTAACACATAATTTTAAATAGCCCAATCAGCAATTAAGCATAATAAAATGGTTCTTGAAGATTTATAGAAGTGATCTGGAGCACACTAAGATGGGAGAAAACATGTGGCAGAAAGACCAGGGAGTTTTATATAGAAGCAAGAAGCGAAAAACAAATTGATAGATATCAAATATCTCCCCAGGAGTATAGAATGGAGGAGGAGGGACAGTTTCCTTGGGTACAGGCAAATGGGAAAGATGAATACTGAGGTTTTTTAGAGGAAACAACTTGGGTTGAGATGAATGCTTGGGGGTTTCCCTTGTGGTTAGTGGCTGATGCATATGTTACAGTTGCTGATGATGTCATTGACCATATAGAAGTAACTGAAAACAATAAGAGATCATGTGGAAAGGAAAAATGCAAGCCAGATACTTAAAAAAATCTACAACGATGAAAAAGATTTCAGGGATTGCTAAGAAATAGTAATGACTTCAAATAAAGAGCAGAAGAGAGAAAAGGTAAGAGATTAATGATCTGGATTTGGAAAAAGATGGTTGAGTTTTATGCAAGGAGTGTGCGACAGAATCATCCAAGCACAAGTTTTCCCACAAATATTTCCTGGGCACCTGCTGTGTTGTAGGTACTGGGACTAGTATGATGAACAAGACAGACAAGGCCCTTGTCTTCATGATGCAAATGAGTCATCCTAAAGGGGAGAAGTTCAGAAAGTGAGACATGACATCTTATAGGAAATGAAACAAGGCTATGGGATGGGATTGGGTTGTTTTTGTTGTGAAGTGCCGTTGAGTCAGTTCCGACCCATAGCAACCCCATATAGGGTTTCCAAGGAGCAGCTAGTAAGCTTGAACCGCCGACCTTGCAGTTCAAACAGCTTTGCAGTCTGGAGCATTAACCCACAGTGCCAAGTAAGTGAAATGGTTTTCCACAGAGGTTCGGTGAAGGCTTATGAATTGGAATCTGATTCATAGGAGGGAGCTGTTGTTGTGTGTCACAAATTGATTCAGACTCATAGTGACCCTATATATAGCAGTAGCATTGCTCCATAGGGTTTCCCAGGCTGTAATCTTTATGAGGAGGAGCTTTGGTGGCACGATGGGTTGAGCATTGGACTGTTAAGTGAAAAGTTGATGATTCTAATGCACTAGCTGCTCTAGAGGAGGCAGTCTGCTTCAGTAAAGATTTATAGCCTGAGAAATCCTATGGAATAGTTTTATTCTGTCTTGTAACACTGTTACGAGTTGGAAGCAATTTGATGGCAAGAGGGTTTGGTTATTTTTTTTTTCAAATCTTTATAGAGCAGATCAATGGGTCTTATTTCCTATGGAGTGGCTGGTGGGTTTGAATGGGGCTGACTTTTCAGTTAGCGACAGAGCACATAACCAGGGCTCCTAAGGAGGGAAAATCTGATGACCTATGCAAGAGTAGTTTCAAATCTTGGTGGTCTCTCTCATGTATCCATTTATCATCCATCTGTATATCTACCTGTCTCTGTGAAATAGGATGCAGAAGGATTCAGAGGCATCATCAGGATTGGGAAGGAGATGGAAGAGGTTTGGAAAAGCGGGGAGGTCAAGGATAAGAAAAAGATCCAAGAAACAGCATCGACAATCCAGCTGAGATTGAATAGCAGAATGTACAGTACTACCAAATAGTTGTCTGTGCAAGTTTGCCAGATTATGGGATTGCTCTCTCATGGTTGTAAGGTCTGTGAAGGTCTGGAGACTTGTTCACTGTTGTATTTCTAGTGCTAGCACAGTGCCTGCACACAGTAGGTACAAATCAATGTCCTTTCTCTTCGATCCTCATCCAGCAAGTTCAAGGACCTGGCGAGAGGGCAGTTCAGTGGTGTTTCTGAAGTTTAGACTTGCTAAGAAGTCTGAACAGGAGGGAACTGATGGGCCAGGGACTAGAGGTTTTGATGACATACCAAACCAAGTACCATCGAGTCAGTTCCAACTCATAGTGAGCCTGTATCAGATTTATGAGACTATAAATTCTTACTGGAGCAGAAAGCCTCATCATTCTCCTGTGGTGTGTCTAGTGGGTTTGAAGTACGCATCTTATGGTTAGCAGTCTTGTGATCATCCTGCAGCGCCACAATGGCTCCTTGATGCCCTGTTGTTGTTAGGTGCCATCGAGTCAGTAACAACTCATAGCGACCCTATGCACAGCAGAACGAAACACTGCCCGATCCTGGGCCAACCTCACAATTGTTGCCACACTTGAGCCCATTGAGGCTACCACTTTGTCAATCCATTTTGAGTGCCTTCCATCCTGAGGGGCTCATTTTCCGGCACTATATCTGACGGAAGTAGTTCATCACTCCTTCTTGATAGTCTGTCTTAGTCTGGAAGCTCATCTGAAACCTGTCCACCATGGGTGACCCTGCTGGTATTTAAAATACTGGTGGCATAGCTGTCAGAATCACAGCAACTCACAAGCTACCATAGTACAACAAACTGACAGATGAGTGGTGTCCTTGATGACAGACTAGAGTAAATGGGAGTAAGGGAGTGAAAAACTGGGAAATTAAAAGTTGTCAGATTGTAATGTTAGCATCTGAGATTTGAGAGATGGGTCAGTTTTGGATTATGCTTGGTATAATCAGTTGCAAAGGCCTTGACAGATTTAAAACAGGAAAAATAAAAAGGATTTTGTTACATCTCAACTTGTTGAGCAAAAGTCTTGTCTTTGTGATGAAATGGGAAGTATGTACTTCTGCCATGGATTGAAGTGTGATGAATGCCTTGGGGAATAGCTTGTGTTGCAAGCTAAACTGATTTTTTTTTTTTTTTTTTTAAATAGAACATTTGTTATTTGGTAGAATGATGGATAGATGAACTATGGTTAACTGAAGTACTTGGCAGACAGTTTCTTGAAAATAGAGTCACCGAGTGGTGCAGACAGTTAACATGTGTGACTACTAGCCAAGAGGTGGGAGGTTTGAATCTTCCCGAGGTATCTTGGAAGAAAGTCCTGGTGATTTACTTGCGAAAATCAGCCATTGAAAAGCCTGTGGAGGTCAGTTTTTCTCTGACACACATGCACCATGCATTGGAATTGACTGCTTGGCAAATGGTTTTTTGTTCATTTTTAAAAACCATTGATACTGGTTTTTTGTTCATTTTTTTAAAAAAAATTATTTTGAATTTTTATCTATTAATCTATTTTTTATTGTGAATTGGGTGAAGTTTACAGAGCACTGGTTCTTGAAAGTTAACAAAATAAGCCTGTCACCTAAAGGAAAACAACTGACTGGCATTTGTTACCAAGGATAAATTTGCATTTTCCCATAAAAATGAAAATTTTGGGAAACGAATCCACCACTGTCAATTAAGAGTCCGAGCTGATTCTGTGGTAGTAAACAACAGCTATGAACTTAATGACTCTTCTGATAAGATAGGTAGTGATATTAATGAATATAAATTTTGATAGCAGATAATGAAATATCCTCCTTTGGTAAATAGATATCATTCAGTGAACCAATATTTTCCAAATAATATATGCATGATATTACAAAACTATATGTGGGTACAAGATTTGTCCAGTCTGTATATGAGAGGGCTATAAAAAGTTTGTGGGAAAATTCCATTTTTCAATTTCGTTTTTTTCCACCAACTTTTGAAGCCCCATTATATATAGTCTTTGAGGTCTTCAGTAATTTCTAAGAGTGTAAAAGAGCCTAGAAACCAAAAAGTTAGCATAGTTCATTCATTTTGTTGGAATATAGTATTCCACTTTAAAATTGCAATCAGTTTATTTTGTTCAACTCCATCACCATTGTTGGATTACGAGCCCTGGTGTGGCACTGTAGGATAAAGCACTGTACCACAAGGTTGGTATGAATCACAAGATCAGCGGTTCAGACTCACCAGCTGCTCCTTGGAGGCCCTTACAGGGTCTCTATGAGTTGAATTTGACTCAACAGCGCTTCACAATAACATTGTTGGACCTCTTTAAAGTATTAAAGAGCAAATATAGAAGTTTGAGGACTAAGGTGCACTTGACCCAAGCCATTGTATTTTCGGTTACCTAATACTGTAGTGGTTACTAATCGGGCTGCTAACTTCAAGGTCGACAGTTCAAAACTACCAGCTGTTCTGCGGGAGAAAGATGCAGCTTTCTGCTCCAGTAAAGATTTACAGCCTTGGAAACCCTTTGCAGGGTCACTATGAGTCAGAACCGACCGCTGAGTTATGGTGTTGGAGAAGAAAATTTAAAGTCCCATGGGCTTTCAGAAGAGCAAACAAATCTGTGTTGGGAGAAGCATACCCAAAATGCTTCTTAGAAGCCAGGATGGTGAGACTT